CTGGAGCAGCTGGTCCCGGAGGTGCTCGTACTGGAGATACTGGAGCTGCTGGGGCTTGTGGTGCTGCAGGAGTTGGAGATGTAGGTGCTGGAGTTGTTGCTACTGGAGGTGCTGCTGGAGCTGGAGCTGCTGGAGGTACTGGAGCTGGTGGTGCTGCGGGAGTTGTAGCTGGAGACCCTGGAGCTGAGGGTACTGGTGCTGTCTCTGCTGTTTCTGGAGGCGCTGCGCGGCCGCGGCCGTACTACGTTCCGCTCCTTCAGCAGGTTCTTGGTCTCCCGCCTTCTACTGGTCCTACTCCTCCCTTTCTGAGTCCACCGCCTGTCCAGTCAAATTCGCAATTACAGCCAGCCTCTCCACTGCCTGGTCCTTCTCCTTACTCTGGACTGAATAGAGGTCTTACGGAGCGTCGTGAGCCTGACTCTCGTCCTGCGTCACCTGAGTCTCGTCCTGAGTCGCCTGTTCGCGCTGTTCGACGTGTTCCGCGTCCGCGTCCTCCTCCTGTCCCCGGCACTCACTCTATGACTCTGTGTCCTTCCATTGCTCCACAGCGTGTCCCTCTGCCGTCTCCTCCTGCGTCCTCTCTTCCTGACGGTCCGGACCCGGAGTCTGACTCCCTTCGTGCTGCTAGTCCTACTGTCACGCGTTTTTTGGCCACTGCTGTCACTGACCCTTCGTTTGAGTCCACTGCTGCGTCTGCTCTAGTTGCTGAGCTTGTTGACTTTGCTGCCGCCTGTCGTCTAGACTACGCCGCTAGTCTTGTTGTTGAGTCTGAGTCTGCGTCTGTCTGTCCTCCGTCCGTCGGGAATGAGCGTGCTCTTGGCACGGACATTCTTGAGGACAAACAGGAGGAGTTTGAGTGCTTTGCCGCTGTTTTAGCTCATCTCGTGTCCATGCTGCTTGCCCCTGAGGGAGACCCGGATGCACCAGACATCCCGACCCCGCGCTCTTACGCAGAGGCGATAGAGGGTCCCTACTCATCTCAGTGGCAGACAGCCATGGACACAGAGATGGCTTCCTGGAAGTCCACAGGCACCTACGTCGACAAGGTTCCCCCGCCTGGGGCGAACATCGTCAGTGGCATGTGGATCTTCAGGGTGAAGCGGCCGCCGGGTTCTCCGCCTGTCTTCAAGGCGCGTTACGTTGCACGAGGCTTCAGTCAGCGACAGGGAGTTGACTTCTTCCATACCTTGTCCCCTACCCCGAAGATGACCACTCTTCGGGTGCTGCTGCACATCGCCGCTCAGCGTGACTACGAGCTACACTCTCTTGACTTCAGCACAGCCTTCCTGCAGGGCAGCCTGCACGAGGAGATCTGGCTGCGCCGCCCACCTTGCTTCTTGCTGGTACCCAGTGGAGCCTCCGGCGGCCAGTCTACGGTCTCCGCCAGGCACCCCGTGAGTGGCACGACGCACTGAGGACGACTCTTGCTGCTCTTGGGTTTGCTCCTTCCACTGCAGACCCGTCGCTGTTTCTACACACCGACACCACTCTGCCGCCTTTCTACGTTCTCGTGTACGTATACGACTTGGTCTTTGCTACTGCTGACACTGAGGCACTCGCCCACGTGAAGTCGGAGCTGCAGAAGAGACACACGTGCACAGACATGGGTGAGCTGACAAGCTATCTTACCTTGTCTCAGTCACACATGGTGCAGCAGGTCCTTCAGCGCTTCGGCTTCACGTACTCCTCGCCACAGTCCACTCCTCTGCCTACCAGTCACTCGCTCTCAGCTCCACCTTCGGACGAGTCCGTAGAGCCGAGTGGCCCGTATCCAGAGCTTGTGGGCTGCCTCATGTACCTGATGACCTGCACTCGACATGACCTTGCCTACCCTTTTAGCATTCTAGCACGCTATGTCGCTCCTGGCAGACACAGGAAGGAGCACATGGATGCAGCTAAGAGGGTGTTGCGCTACTTGTGCAGTACGTCCGGCATGGGGCTCGTGCTTGGAGGACGGGCTCGAGTTGTCCTCACTGGTCACGCAGACGCTTCCTGGGCTGACGACTTGACTACGCAGCGGTCGTCACAGGGTTACACCTTCAGCCTTGGCTCCGGCTCTGTCTCTTGGCGGTCTACCCGCTCGTCTTCTGTTCTCAGCTCCAGTTGTGAAGCTGAGATCTACGCAGGGGCCATGGCTGCACAGGAGTTACGCTGGCTCACCTACCTGGTGACCGACCTGGGAGGGCCGCCTCGTTCTCCTCCAGTGCTGTACGTCGACAACAAGGCCATGATTGCCTTGTGTCAGGAGCACAGAACGAAGCACATCACTCTGCGCTACTTCCTTGCTCGAGAGTTGCAGCAGCGTGGTCAGCTTCGTCTTGCTTACGTGGCCACTCGGGCCAACACTGCTGATGTTTTCACCAAGGCACTTCAGCCTTGTGATCATCAGCGTTTCTGTACTGTTCTAGGCCTTGTACCTACTGTGCCTGACTTGCTTACTTCTTGACTCTGCTTGTACTGTGATCTCTATACATATACCTGCATGCTTACACTTGCTAGGTTGTGTTCACTGTATTGCTTGTTCTCCTTTATATATAACTCTGCATGTGAACTGGCCTTGTGGCCATTTGCTTGTGCTCAGAATGCGTGGTGACGTCGTGATCCACCCTGAGCTTGCTTTGCCTTTCTTGACCGGTCTTGTGACCTCTTGTTCTCCCCACTTTGCCTATGGGGGTGTGTCAAACTCATATGCTATAGTTTGTCTAGGCTGTAGTGGGGCAGTTCATATAGGGTACAACACTTTTAGGTTTCCTACTTGTACCCATCTGCTTGCTGGTTCAGTCATTCCTTCCGTCACTATTCTTACAGGCACGACGGGCCTAGAAGCGCGAAGGGCCGGGACCGAGGCCTAGGGGCGCGACGGGCAGGGAACAGGGCCCTGGGGCGCAACGGGCTTAGGGGCGCGACGGGCAGGAACGGGGCCGTGGGGCGCGACTGGCCTAGGGGTGCGACGGGCCTAAGGGTGCGACAGGCAGGAACCGGGGCCGTGGGGCGCGACGGGCCTAGGGGCGCGACTGGCCTAGGGGCGAAGGGGCCGAGGGGCGCGACGGGCCTGGGAAACGGGGCCGTGGGGGGGGGGGGCGCGACGGGCCTAAGGGGCGCGACGGGCCTAGGGGCGCGACGGGCCTAGGGGCGCGACGGGCCAAGGGGCCGGGGCCTAGGGGCGAAGGGGCCGAGGGGCGCGACGGGCCTAGGAAAACGGGGCCGTAGGGGTGTGCGACGGGCCTAAGGGGCGCGACGGGCCGAGGGGCCCTAGGGGCGAAGGGGCCGAGGGGCGCGATGGGCCTAGGTGGCGCGACGGGCCTAGGGGCGCGACGGGCCAAAGGGCTACTCGCAGGGCAGCAGGTGGTGGGCCCAAGGAAAGAAAGGCGGTCCTAGCGAGGGACCTGCTCTGAAACCATGTCGTAAGTAATGAACGGGAATGAATGAACTAGCAAAGAGTTGGGTACAAGTACTAACCCTAATTGGATTGTACCCATTATGGGCTACCCCACTATAGCCTACACAAATGTAAAAGCTATAATGTTTTGACGTTCGCAGCCTGCAAGAAATCAATCACAGCCGAAGAAACAGCCCGCCTCTTCATCTCCACCGTCGTTTGACTACACTGGATACCAGCAGCGATGATCAGCGACCGCGACACGAAATTTACCAGTAACTTCTGGCGGAAATTGTGGCAGCAGTTCGGCACACGACTACAATTTTGTTCTTCGTATCACCCCGAAACCGACGGACAGACAGAATGTACAAATATGACCATGGAGCAACTCATCCGAGCCACGTGCGATGATCCGACCACATGGGAACAATTGCTGCCACTCATCGAATTCGCGTACAACAACTCACCATCCGCCACGACCCAACAGTCACCGTTTTACCTGAACTACGGACAAGATCCTACAGTACCCATGACCCCGAATCCCGACAACCCAGTACCACGTGCACAACAGTTCGCAGAAATCCTACAAGTAGCACGGACCCGGGCAGCCGAGGCAATTAAAAAGGCCAACGTCATCGCTAAGCGCAACGCCGATCGCCACCGCAGACCTGTCACTTGCCAGCCCGACAACCTAGTTTTGCTCGACGCCCAAAACCTCCGCCTGCCCATAACCCCGAAACTCCGCTCCCGATATTGCGGGCCATTTCACATCAGTCGCATGATCACGCCCGTCACCGCCCACCTCCTCCTTCCTGCTGATTGGTACGTCAGATTGTCCTTTCACGTCAGCCTGCTTCGCCCTTACGTACCGTCCACCAGCCAACTGCCCCGCAACCGCCCAGCCAGCATGACACAACCGCCGACTGAACCAATCATCACGTCCGAAAAGATTCTGAGCCATCGAGTTCGTGACCCACGGGGAGCCCGAAGGGTCGAATTTTTTATCCGCTGGAAAGACCACACGCCCATCGAAGATAATTGGGTCCCCCTGGACAGAATCGAGAACCACCTCATCCTCACCGAGTATTTGCTCAGCCGGAATTTCCGGGATATACACGCGCTTTCGTAAGAAGGGCCTCCTTAGGGTGGGGGTAGTGTAAGGAAAAATCATTTTCCTTACTTCGCGTCCCTGCTCAGCGCGTACAACACTGTTTCCCGCCAACAACACCCAACAATAATCTGTTACCACTCGCGACATTCGCCTCGCCACTATTCCCGCCACTGTTCACGACGTGACCCAACCTCACGGCTCGGTTGGTAACCCGCACTCCGGACCTCCGCCTCGACAATTCCCAACCTCGGCACCAGGCCCATCGCGCACCCCATTTTCCACGTTACCGTTACCAGTGTAGCTTCGCTATATATTCTTAGTTCAATCCTTCGCTCATTGGACTCTTGTCTCGATAGTGCAATCCTCGCTCACTCACTCAATTGCACTCGTAACAACAACCCAAACCGCCCACAGACGCGACAGACAACACCGCCGCCAAATTCCACCGGCACCACCTACGCAGCACCCCAGCGCGTTCACTGCGCGTCGTGCCGCATCGACCGCACCAGCATGTCGCCCGCGGCGGCTCTCCGCTCCTCTGGCGCGTCGCAGCTTGCGGGGCTCGGGTCCGCGTGCTCCGCGCACGGCGCTCGGCGGAGAAAAGCGGCGCACCGCGCCGAGACGAGCGAGGTGCGTGCTTGCAGCGGCAATGCCGCAAGGCGACTGCCGATTTGGTTACTCACTGCTCGGAACCGCAGCCAGACGCTGCGCATGGCCAACAACCCGTTGAACTTGCGCCTTCTCGCAAAGCACCGCGGCGATGGTGCGACGAGGCGCGCAGCTGCGCACGTGCGTCTTCCCCCCATCGCAGCGCTGCAGCGGGTGACTCTTGAGCGCCCCGAGCAGCGACGCGCAACGCGCAGCCGCTCTTCGCCTGGCCGCGGAGCTGGCGGAACGCAGGGCCGCGCGCGCCGGGCAGATGCTCTCCGTCACGGGCCAACCAGGGCCGCACCTGCGAGCGCTGCGATGTTTGCTTGACTGGTGACGCGCGCATTGCGCTCCCACGCGTCCTCCAGCTCCGCCCCCCTGCCCCCGTGCCCCCTTCCCCCGTGCCCCCTTTGCCCCCTTCCCCTGTGCCATCTTTGCTCCCTCCGCCCCGACCCTCGCCGCCCTTCGCTTCCCTGTGTGCGCAGCAGCAGGCGTCACGAGTGTGGGTGGGAAGGAATGTGCTGCTGCTCCGGGAAAAGTCGAAGCGTGCAAGCTTGTGTGGAGTGGAGTGCTTGCACTTGCCTGCCTGTGCGCCCCGCTACCTTGCGCTCCTTCCTCCCCTCCCGTTGCTCCCCCTGTGACCGCCCCTCTCCGCCTTCCCCGTGCTCCCAGGGCGCAGCTGGAAGCTTCCACGAAGCAAGGCTCGGGCGAGGGCCTACGTGGCAGCTGAGGAGTGGGCGAGCAGCAGCGGGCAGGGGGGATGGTCGTGGGAGAATGGGTGGTGTGGGGCGGCCACGAGCAAGCGTGGAAGAGGTGTGGGGTGTGAGGGGATGAGAGGGGGGGTGAGGGGGGTGAGAGGGTGGGGGGTTCGGTGGGATTGTGGGTAGCTTGGGCGCTGCTGTGCTGCCATGGCTGCTGTGTCTCCTTCACTGCTCTCAAACGTTGCTCGTATTGAAAACCAACAACACCCAACAGCCCACACCCCCTCCCCCACCCATTCATTGCCCGCTGCCCCCCATTGTCCCCCGTCATCCCCTCTTGTCCCCCTGACCACCCCTCGCCGCTTCTCCCCGTTCCTCCCTGCCCCTTCCCTCCCCGTCCCTCACCTCCCCTCCCCCCATCTCACCGCCCCTCACCGACCTTCACCCCCGTGCCGGCAGCTAGCGGGCGTGCTGGTGTTGTCAGCCGTGCCCTTCGTGGGTGTGAAGGCGCTCGCCAACAGCGGGCTGGGCGGGCAGCTCAGTCAGCGCCTGCAGCAGCGCCTGCCCGAGCTGCGACGGGCGGCGGATCGGGTGGAGATGCAACGGGAGGAGGCGCGAGAACAGAGGTGGGTCAGTGCGTGGCAGCAGGAGCTGTGGCAGAGGTGAGCCGAGGGGGGAAGGGGGCAAGTGGACCCACTCTTGATCCAACGCATTCTTCTCATCACTGCTCTTCGCCCTCCCTGCACATCACATCACATGCCCACACTTCGTCCCTCCCCGCTTCCCTCCGCCCTCCACGTGCCTCTCCCGTTCCCCCTTTCCCTTTCCCTTCCCCCTCTCCCCCCTTCCCCCTCTCCCCCCTTCCCCCTCTCCCCCCTTCCCCCTCTCCCCCCGTCCCCCTCCCCCCTCCCCCCCCTCTCCCCCCGGCCCCCAGTCCATGGTATGGTGCTGCACGCCCGCGCTGGCTGGACCCCGTGCCCTTCACCTACCCGCCCTACCTGGACGGCCGGGTGGCGGGCGACTTTGCATTCGACCCCGCTGGCCTCGCCCGCGACCCCGCTGCCTTCCAACGCTTCTACAAGTAAGCTGGGGTGGGGGGTTGTGTAGGGAGAGTGGGAGGTGAGGATGAATGGGGTGGGAGGTAAGGGAGCATGGCAGCCGACGAGTGAGGGAATGACTGAGTGCTTGCTGTGGCTGTGGCTGTGGCTGTGCTGGTTGTGCTGGGCAGGTACACCAGTGTCACAACGCATGCTTTCTCCCCCTCTCCACCAACCGCATTGCTCCCTCTACCTTGCTCGCCTGTGCCACTCCTCCCTCATCCCACCTCCTCATCCTTGTCGAGGCACAGTGGCGCCTGGTGGGGGGAAGGCCATGAGGCAAGGCTATCTCTGCTCCTCCCCCGCTCCCCCCCCCCCCTCTCTCTCCAACCTCCCCCGCGCCGTCACCTCCCCCATCCTCCCCATGCACCCCAGCCTTGAAATCCTGCATGTGCGGTGGGCCATGCTGGGCGCGCTGGGTGTGGAGGCCGAGTGGTGGTGCGTGGGGGAAGCAGGTGCAGCAACGTTGTGTCCACACTCTCCCCCCCTTCTTTCCCCGCTCGCCCCAGCCTTGACATCCCTCACGCCCGTTGGGTGATGCAGGGAGCGCTGGGGGAGGTGGTGCCAGAGGCGCTGCAGCGGGGTCCGCATGCAATTTATCCCCTTCTCTCCCGCTCCTTCGCCACCTCAACCCGCTCCCCCTTCGTCCCTCCCCTTTCCCATCCACCCCAGCCTTGAGATCCTGCATGCGAGGTGGGCCATGCTGGGCGCGCTGGGAGTGGTGGTGCCGGAGGCACTGCAGCGCTACAGCGACACGGCCTTCTTAGAGGCCGTGTGGTGGCGCGTGGGGGCCGCCAAGCTGGCGGGGGACGACCTGGACTACCTGGGCGTGGCGGGGCTGCACCTTGCAGGGGGTCAGGGCGTGGTCGTTATAGCCATCGCACAATTCCTGCTCATGGTGAGTGCCAGTGCGTACCCTCACTACTGTCACTGCCACTCCTGGACGATCTGGACTATCTGGGCGTGCCGGGGCTGCACGTGGCAGGGGGGCAGGGCGTGGCTGTGATCGCCGTCGCACATATCCTTCTCACATGGTAAGTGCGGTTGAGTACGCACACAGCGCATGGCGCTGGTACAGCCAGTGCCGCTGCTGAAGCTAACGGGAGACGGCCTGGACTACCTTGTGGGCGGGCAAGGGGTGGCTGTGATTGCTGTCGCCCAGTTCCTCCTTATGGTACTTGCCTGCGCTGCACATGCCCGTGCTACAGCCACGGCTTCACCTGGAGCTGCAGGGCGCGCCCCACTGCACCTCGTGGGCGGGCAGGGCGTGGTTGTGAGCGCCATTGTGCAGTTGCTGCTAGTGGTGAGCACACATCTGGCACACACACCCCCTGCTGCTACTGAAGCTGCATTGCATATGGGAGGCGGGGGAGGTGAGGTGGATAGGAGCAGCAATGGGTGGAGCGGGACGTGCTGGGTCCCCGCAAGGCGACACTTTGATCTTTTGTGGCACCCGACTCGACACTTGATGAGCCCACTCGAGGTCATGGCAGACTGGAGTGCACTCGCTCCACTCGCTTCACTCGCTCACTGCCACATATCTTGCTGCCTCATACTGCCTGGCGTCGCCACGATGACCTGTCATTTGAAGGCTTTGTCATCAACCACTCAGTCAGGCATTTCCATTCCCGTTCCTTGTTCCTTGTTCCTTGTTCCTTGTTCCTTGTTCCTTCTCTTCCTTCTCTCTCTCCGCACCTCACAGACTTCCTATCTCGTATCCCCTTTTCTATCCCCCCTCTCCCCCTCTCCGGACCTCTTTTTCCATGCATGTCTCCCTCCTCTTCCCATCGTGCATCTTCTCATCCCCCAGCTGGGCCCATTGTGTGCATGGCGCATAGGCACAGCACGTGGGCACATAGCAACAGGGGGCTTTAATCGATGGGCTCGTTTTTGCTCCCTAACCACACTGTCCCCATTTAGCATCCCTCCCATTTCCCTCCCCACGTCCCATCCTCAGCTAGGCCCAGAGTACGCGCGCTACACGGGCATAGCAGCATTGGAGCCGCTGGGGGTGTTCCTGCCGGGCAACATCAACCACCCGGGCGGGTGGCTCTTCGACCCGCTGGGGCTGGCCAACGATGCAGAGCGGTTTGAAGACTTGAAGGTGGGTGCAGGGCGCTGGTGTGCAGGGGAGGGTGCGTGCAGGGGAGGGTGTGTGCAGGGGAGGGTGCGTGCAGGGGAGGGTGCGTGCAGGGGAGGGTGCATGCAGGGGGCGCTGGCCGTGTTTCTGCGGGGAAACATGAAGCAGGTGGGGGTGGCTCTTTGACTTCCTGTGGCTGACCAATGACGCCCCGTGTTTTGACGCCCTGAGGGTGCGAGCAGGGTGTTGAACGCGTGCATGGGACAAGGTCTGTGCAGGGGTGGTGTCCATGGGTGCTGCTGTGTGCATGGCTGGTGTGTCAAGCACAGAGTGCACGTGTCCAAGGCACCAACCACAGAGGGCAGGTCTGGAAGAGGGCACGAATCACATGACACATGCCCACGCATCCGACCCACCGGTTGCTGCCTTGGCTGCTCTCCTCTCTCTCGTTGCTCTTGCCCTTTCAGGTGCGAGAGATCAAGAACGGGCGGCTGGCAATGATGGCGTGGGTGGGCTTTGCCGCCCAGGCAGCGGTGACAGGGCAGGGTGTGTTGGACGACTGGGAGGCCTTCCTGGCCGACCCCCTGCGCAACAACGCCATTGCCTTCGCCCTGCATTCTTCACACTAGCCCTCGCTCCGCCCTCACTAGTGCCGCCTCCTCTCTGCTGCACGCTGCTCAAGCGGTGCTGCCTGCCAGATGAGGTGTGCGCCACATACATGGCACGCCAGAAGTACGCGTCTCATCGTCCTAGAGGCTCTTCAACCAAATGCCTGAGTGAATAAACAAGGCAGATGTAGACCCCACAAACTGTAGAGTGAATTGGTGAAGCAATCGATACAAGAGACTCATCCCTGAATGTAACTCCTGTCCCGAAGCATTTACGAGGTGGCTCTGTGTAGTGTACAAAGAATTCAATTTGCATTTAGCTTTATATTCTATGTATATGGAACATGTGCTGCTTGCCACAGAGCTCAGTTCGTGCTATAACTTGATTAATATTTGTTCCAAGCTGTTTTTATGTGACTGGAGCAGTAGCGGTGTTCATGTATCTGCTACGTAGCAGGCAAGTTTGTCATTTGTAATTCACAAAGATTCATGCCGTATCAATTTTGTGTGGTGATTTTGAAGTGTTCTGCCGTTAACGGATCATAGATCCGTCCCTGCATTCGTGTGTGCGGTGCAGCACGGTTCCTTCCAAACCGCCACAGCCCAGCCCTCAGAGGAAAGAGCCTGCTTGGTGGGTTGGAATGGCCGCCTCTCTGCTGCTGTCATGCACTTCTGGAGCCTTCCGCTCTTCATTGGTCTCGCGTGCCTCGCGCCATCGCCATCACTCGCGCTCCTCCACTCGCACCGACCCTCCTCGCCTCGCTGCTCGCCCCTCACACTGGAGCGCCGTGTTCGCCGCGTGAGCCGGGCCACCTTAGCCGACCACCCCCGCCCCAATTCCGCCATGCGGCGCAAGCGGCATGCGCGTCCTCCCCCCAGCATTCCCCCACATGCTCCTCCCCGCTGCTCGTCCCAACTGCTCCCGTGTGCCTGTTGCTGCGTGTGTCTGTCTGCTGACGCGAACAGTCGCGGGAGCCTCTGGTGGGATGGAGTGAACGTGGCAAGTCAACGCCTTCCCCCGTTGCGGGTCGAGCGATTGCAGGAGCAGCCCTGCTGCCACCAGCTTACAGGGACTGTAGACGTGCCCTGCGCCTCGCGGCGCGCTCGTTACCGCCGCGTGTTTAAAAGCTCGCGTGCTCCTGTCTCACCATGGACCCCACATGCCCTCCATTCTCGCGCCACCCATGGACACCGCACGAACCCGACTGCTCCGGATCGTCGCCATCGCCGTCGCTCTCGTCGCAGCTGTCGCCGCTGCTGTCGCACACGCCTCTGACGAAGCCAATGCGTCCGACGCGCCTCTGCCGGGCAGGGCGGCGCTGGAAAAGGCGGCGAGCGCGCAGATCAGCGGAGTGCTCCCCGTCTTCGGCGGAGGAAACTGGCTTCCGCGCCCGCGCGGTGGCGGAAAGGGCGGAAAGGGGGGAAATGGCGGGAATGGCGGGCGCATGCGGGCGACGTGGGGAGTGCCTCTGCGGCTGCGCGCGGCATGGGGAAGTGCTAAGTTCCGCGTGAAGGCACGGGACGCGCTGCGGCGGCTGACGGGGGCGCGCGGGGTGGCGGTGACGGCGCAGGGGCGCGCGGAGCAGCTGATGGCGGCATGGGCGGGACGGCGAGGGAGGGAGGGATGGCGGAAGGGCAAGGACGTGTGGACGCAAGTTGCGCGGGACTGCGTCTCTCAGGTGCTCCGTTATAACGTGCTGCGTTATGAGATGATGCGTTATTGTGTGCTGCGTTATTAGGAGCTGCATTACAGACGCCACATTAGGATGCTTGCGCACAATAAGCACTGGGCATCTCTCAACCGCCCATATCTCCACTGCACTGTATTGCATTCCATCCAATCCAATCCCGTGCTGCCAGTTGGCACTCGCCAAGGCGAGCATGGATGAAGCAGCGGTGATCATCAACACGGGCGAGGGTGACGTGGCAGACGCGCGCGTCAGCCTATCGAGTGCTGCCACGTTGGCGGGCGACTGTCTGGACTCCTTCCGCACCTTCGCTGCTGATGGCGCCGCCAGCGAGCCCGCCAGAGGCGTGCAGGTGGGGTTTGGCGTGGATTGCATTGCAGGTGCCTGAGGGGGGGGTGATGGTGGGGGGACGCACATACGGGTGGGCGGAGGGGGGTTGGTGCTGCGTGCATGCAGTGTGCTGTGCTCACGCCAGCCGCCACAGCTGTGCAAGGCTTTGGAGGCACGGGTGGGGTAGGAGGCATGGCGGTGATTGAAGTGGGGTCATTCCAAGTTTCAACTCATGCGTCTTGCTGTCACCCAACCATCATCCCTCACTGCTCTCCCCCCCCACGCTCTAAGCAGCTCGGTTCATTCGTGCTATTCCTCCACTATGGAACTCGTCGCTTGCTCACTTCAACTCATTCAGCACCACCAACCATCCCTCCCTCCCCATCCCTTGCCCTCTCTACCGCTTCCTCTGCGCCATTCTCTGTGCCATGCATCACGGGGAGCAGCAAGCAGCGGGGCAGTTGAGGGAGGCGCTCATGGCGTTGCAGCAGCAGGCGGCCGACATGGCCACCATCGTTGCCGCCTCCTCGCCCCCCCCGCTCTCCTCGCCTCCCCCGCCCCCCTCGTCGCTCTTTTCCCCAGCCCCCGCCGCCAGCCCCCCGGGCGACTCCAGCCGTGGCGATGCCAGCCCTCCAAGCGATGCCGGTGCTGGCGCTGATGGTGCTGCAAGCGATGGCAGTGGCAGTGGTGCTGACGCTGACACTGGTGGTGGTGCTGGTGACAATTCTGGTGACAGTGGTGGTGACAGCAGTGGTGACAGCGGTGATGACAGCGGTGGTGACAGCGGTGGGGACAGCGGTGGTGGTATCGCGGGCTTCACCATGGCACGAGTGGCCACGGCCACCACAGCAGCGTCGCGCTCACACGTCAAGTCAAGAAAGCGCCCTGCCAGCAACGCCACACGCCCCTCCGCCTCAGTTGCAGACGTCAACTCCACCGCCCCTGCTCCCCCTGGCCCTCCGCCTCCCCCCAATCCCTTCGCACCCCTGCCCCCATCACCATCACCTCCCTCCTCGCCTTCCTCGCCCTCCCTCTTTGACCCTCTCTTCCCCTTGGCCCCCTCTGCAACTCCTCCCTCCTTTCCTCCTCCCCCTCCGTTTCCCCCTCCTTCCCCTCCTCCATCTCCCCCTCCCTTCCCCCCTCCCTCCCCTCCTCCCTCTCCGCCATCTCCCTTCTCTTCAGTGCCTCCCTCCCCACCTTCCTCCATGTCCCCCTCCCTGCCCTTCCCATCCACCCCTCCCTCCTCTCCTTGGCCTGCCACACCTGCTCCTCCTTCGCTGCTCCCCCTCCCTCTGCTGCCGTCTCCTCCCCCGTGCACCCCACCCGCCCCATCCATTCCCGCATGCTGCACCTGCACCTGCGCCTGTGCTCCCGTCCTGCCCCCCGCCTCCCCTTTAGCTTCTCCCCCTCCTCCTCTCTCCACGTTGCCTTCCCCCCTTCCTCCTCCTCCTTTCCCCCCACCTCAGCCTCCTCCGCCCGTCAGTTCTCCCCCACCCTCTCCCCCTCTCCCGTCTCCTTCCCCTCCTGCCTCTCCTCCTTCACCTCCCATCTCCCCTCCTTCCCCTCCTTCCTCCCCTCCCCCTCGCCCCCCCTCCCCTCCTTCCTCCCCTCCCCCTCGTCCCCCCTCCCCTCCTTCCCCTCCCCCCTCCCCTCCTTCCCCCCCCCCTCCCCTCCCTCTCCCCCCCTTTCCCCTCCTTCCCCACCCCCTTCCCCTCCCTCTTACCCCCTTTCCCCTCCTCCTCGACCCCCTTCCCCTCCCCCCCGTCCCCCTTCCCCCCCTCCACGCCCCCCTCCTCCTCCCCCGCCTCCTTCCCCTCCCCCACGCCCACCCCCTCAACCTCCTCGCCCCCCGTCCCCTCCTCCCTCTCCTCCTTCCCCCCCTCCGCGTCCTCCTCCTCCCCCTTCCCCACCCCCCTCCCCTCCGCCCACACCACCCTCCCCCCCCCCCATCCCCACCCCCCCCCCCCCCCATCCCCACCCTCCCCGCCCCCATCCCCGCCTTCCCCGCCCCCCTCTCCGCCCTCACCACCGTCCCCGCCCCCCTCGCCCCCGTCACTGGCATACCCAGTGCCGCTGCGCTACGCGCTGCCGCCGCCCAACGCCATTGTGGCCAGGGATGGCTCGGGCACCTTCACCTCCATCCAGGTGCGTGGGTGCGCTGGTGGATTGGTCTTGCTACTTGGTCACTTGCTCAGCCGCCCCATACCAAGCGCATGCCTCATTCCCCCATACCAAGCGCATGCCTCATTCCCCCATACCAAGCGCATGCCTCATTCCCCCTCATCCCGCTCCTTCACCAGCTCCCTCCTTCCCCACTTCACCTCACCTCGTCCCTATCCTCTCCCTCCTCCATGCCCCACCAGGCAGCAGTGGACGCGGCGCCATCCACCCCCAGGGGGCGCTTCATAGTGTTCGTGGCGCCAGGGGTATACACGGAGACAGTGCGAGTGACCCGCAAGAACGTGACGCTGGTGGGGGCAGCGCCTGAGGCAACGGTAATCACGGGCAGTGCCTGCGTGGTGGGCGGCTCCACCACCTTCAACAGCGCCACCGTTGGTGGGTGCATGGGACGTCCATGGGGCACGCATGGGGCATGAATCATTGACCATGGGCCATGGAGTATGGGGCACGGGCCGTCACCACGGGGCATGCATGGGGTATGGATGTGTGGCGGGGGGCATGTGTGCGTGCGGCCCACCTCTCTGCTATCCACCACTCATCTCCTCCTCGCTCTCCCAATCCCTCCCCCCACGGCAGCCATAACGGGGGCGGGCTTCCTGGCGGTGGGGGTGCGATTTGAGAACACGGCGGGCCCGGAGAACCACCAGGCGGTGGCGCTGAGAGTCACGGCGGACAACTGCGCCTTCTTCGACTGCCACTTCATCGGCTGGCAGGTGCGCCCGTCCACCCCACTCACTGCTCTTCCTCACCACCGCCCTCTGCTTACAAAATTTCAAATGCTATCTGCCGCCCTCCTCCAATTGTATTTTCTCTCCTAAAATAGAATCAGAAATTCCCTCTTCCCCGACCCCCCTCGCCCACTCTCTCCTCCCCACAGGACACGCTGTACACACACAGCGGGCGGCAGTACTACCGCAACTGCGTGGTGAACGGGTCGGTGGACTTCATCTTCGGCAACGGTGCCGCCGTGCTCGACAACTGCACACTGCAGCTCCGCCCGCAGCCCAACGCTGTGGTAACCGCATCGGGGCGCACCAACTCCACGGAGCCCACGGGCATCGTGATTGTCAACTCCAGGGTGGAGGGCGACGTGGCACAGGCGCAGTTCCTGGGGCGACCCTGGAGGCCGTTTGCACGCGTGCTGTACAGCAACACTGTCATTGGCTTCTCTGTGAGTGTGCTGCACTGCCAGCAAGCATGCCCCGCGATGCCAGCATGCCCCGCCCGCACTGCCTGTGGTTGTTGTGTTTGCATGACATGTCCGTTGCTCTGCAGATTAACTCCAATGGCTGGATGGACTGGGGAGGCACCGTGTATGACACGACAACGTTTGTCGAGTTCAACAACTCAGGGCCCGGCTCCGTGGGATCACGGATTGCTTGGGCAAAGCCGGGAATTGTGAACGATCCATCACTTGTGGCACAATATTCCCCGGATGTGTTCCTTTACCCATTCGCTCCGATACTTGGGCTCATCCCTTGGATATGATAGCACAATTCAGGTGTGAGTGCCATGAGCCGTTTGTTGTGCATGGTTAGATAATAGAAGGGGCTATTAATTAATTTATGTAGTCTTATGTGAGAAACAACCTGTATATAGTATGTATTTTGTTGTAACATACCTGAGGAATATTTTGATTCCCGCCAGCTAGGACTATTGTTCAGACTTGGACCGTGTCGCTCGAGGTAAGGGAGCACCAATTCGGCGTCTGATTGGTCAGCAGCACCCCTCCAGAATTTGTTTGTGTGGCTGGCGGCAAAGCCTCCTCACTTTTCCGTGAATCGAACCAAACACGGCAACTGGGAAATTCGTCTGGACAGAAATCTGTCGGGACGGGACAGGACGGGACGTGGCGGGGCCGACTGCGTGGCGCGGAGGATTCAGGGGAGGCTTGGTTCGACTCCAGGGATGTTCTGATAGCATGGTTGGATGGGAATGGTTTGGGAGTGGGGATGGTTTGGAACGAGATGAATTGCACAGAATCCTACCGCATCCCGTCCCACCCATCTCAACGAATCACTGCCAGAGCATCTCACATTCGTGTCGTGGATATGATGCGAATAATTCCCAAACCCCCACAGTCCCTGGTTACCGTCATTCCGCGCGTTGCCCACACCATCACTCACCAGGCAAGCGGATGGGACAAACTCACGTTGATAAGAACATAAGCAGTTATGCTGAAACTCCCCTTTTTCGTGTGGCCGTTTTCCAAGCTTACTAGGGCACTACGATTAGCTCTTCCAGCAATAGTTGCGATTCGACGCGTTGCTCGGAAGACATTTACACGTAGCCACACTCCGACAGGCCGGGCAACCGCAGTGCTGATCCAGGCTGATCCGCAATGCCTAGGTTATGCTTATAACGCTAGGCAGGCAACGTCAGTCAGGACGAACCCGAGCCGAGACGAGGAACGATCAGCAGCTTGACTGAGACGCTCGGATTCGGGTGGATTTCAGCGCGGCTTGAAAGCGGCATCGCCATGGTTGTCATCCATGAGTAGTACGCTGTTTGAATAGTCAACCGTTAGCGTATTGGTTTTCGAAGTAGTAAGCCGTTTGATCAGTGATTGTTTCGATAAGTGGGCGTTGGGTAGTTTGGCGTTGAGTAGCCTGTCTGCATACGCGGTCATTTGAAGCTGGTTGAGCTCGGTCATTTGCTTAGTCAAGGATCGGATTCTTGCCTTGTCAAACAATGTTACTCACCCACCCCTCGTGTCTGCGTCCCCTCCCTCTCGTATCGCCGTGCTGCAGTCAAATTCCGTTGCCGCTGTCCGCAGAGGAGGTGAGGGTTGACTTGGGGTGCGCGTTGACTTGGGGTGCGCGTAGGTGCGCGTTGACTTGAGTTGTGCGTTGACTTGAGGTGCGCATTGGTTTGGGGTGAGCGTTGGCTTGACGGGAGCGTTGATTCAGGGTGAGCGTTGACTTGAGGTTTGCGTTGGCTGGGGTGTGCGTTGACTTGGGGTGAGCACTTGCTTTGATACAAGAACCTTTCCGGCGACAGACCTCGGGTGGTCAGCACCATGGGCCCCGTCCATCGCCGTGAGTCCCTCTCGCACGCGCTCCAGATCGCAGCAGCGGGTTTGCGTGTGCGCGGCTCAGCGGCCACCGTGCTGTCCGAATGGCCTCTGCGTCGCCATGCATCCGCCGCGGGCCCCGCTGCCTGCCACCTGTCCCCACCTCCCTGTGCCTCCCCGCCCTCTCTGCGCGCTTCGAATCATCACCCTTGCACCACCCCAGCGTCGCTCCGCGTGGCACGTGAGCAATCCCCGTTGGCGTGCTTGCCATTCGCCGTGCTGCCCCCACCCCACTGCAGTGCAGCGCTGTTCCTCGTAGTCCGCTGCCCCCGCCTTGCTGCCGCTCTCACCCTGCACATACTGAAGCAACGCCACCACATCACCATCACTCTCACCATCACTCTCACCATCACTCTCACCATCACTGTCACCATCACTGCACTCACTCTCATCTCCTTTTCTACCACCGTCATAGCCATGCGCGTGCTCATTGCTGCTCCCAGGGGGCATTCTTGTGATTTGCCCAACATTTTTGTTATACCACCATCTCGCCTGCCCCTTAACCCTTTTTCTTCACATCACGAGTACAACAACGGTACCGCATAGCACAGCGGTACATCATCACCAGCTTCACCAAGGTAATCCCCCCTTCTTTCTCCTCCTCCCCTCAACAGTACCACATAGCGCAGCTGTACATGATCAACGCTCAGCGATCTAACTTCTTTCTCACACCCACACCTCCTACCCACCCCTCCCTCCCCCACCTATCCCCCCTCCCTCACATGAAGGCAGCACCGCATAGCACAGCTGTACATGATCGTCAATCATTCAAGTTATTCCACGCCCCCCTTCCCTCCACCATCCCCCTTCCCCACCCGCCGCTCCCCCCCCATCCCCAACCACCCTTCTCAACCCACCAGTACCGCATAGCACAGCTGTACATGATAGCGCGGTTCAGCGAGGTGCACTCGTCAGACAACAGCGACGGCGACGGCGTGGAGGTGCTGCGCAACGAGCCGTTCCAGGAGGACGGGCGCCAGGGGCAGTACACGCACAAGATCTACCACCTCGCCAAGTGAGTGAGTGGGCAGTACACGCTCCAGTGTGTGTGCCGCAGCATGGCGGGTGGGGTGGTGCACACTGCACAGTCGGTGGGACGCACGGTGGCTCATGCAGAGGGGGAGGAGGGAGGCCACTTGTGAGCCCAGCCGTGGTGGAGAGGAGAGTAGCAGCACGGGGGATCCACGCATGGGGGAAGGCCGCGGCACATTAGGTGACCCAGAGGCACAAGGGGACCCTGGGGAGGTTGGGTTTCCTAGAAGGGCAGCGGAACGGTTCCAGCAGGCAGGTGTGTGTGATGACAGCGGCGTGGAGGTTAAGTCGGGTTGGAGCGCCCTTCCTGAGCGGTGGGCGTCATGACAGCCTGTGTGCATGGCAGGTGGAGGAATCAGCAGGCTGCACACTTCACACGGCAGGTTGGATGTCTTTTGAGGCGGGCTAGCAGGGCAGGAGGCAGTGGGGATGAATGTGATGTCGAGGGTACTGTGCTTGTGTATCTGCCCAGTTCTCTCGCTGGGGCACCTGGTAGGAGGGTCGCCTTGCCACCTGGTAGGAGGGCCAGGGTGCTGCTGTAATGCAAGGGTGTGTGCCTCACCATTCCCTGTCCCGCCAAGGCCAGCAGAGTGGGCAGCCTTCTTGCATCGGCGCAAGGCAGTGGACCAGTTGAGAAATAATAGAGGAGGAAAACGAAGAGTGCCGCCCAGCAGCCATGCTCCAGCGCTCACGCTCTCCGAGGACAACTCTCTCTACCGCTCTCTCACACACACACTCACACGCATTCTCACATTCACACTCACACTCGCACTCACTCTACACCCACACTCACAGCCAGCCCTCACGCATTCCCCTCCCCTGTGCATGGAGCGCAGGAAGGTGCCTCAGTTGGTGCTGGCGATTCTGCCGAAGAAGGCGCTGCAGCTGGAGGAGAAGTCGTGGAACTGCTACCCTCACTGCGTCACAGGTCAGTCAGCAGCGCGTGACAGGTGAGTCAGCAGCGCGTGACAGGTGAGTCAGCAGTGCGTGACAGGTCACTACGCATCCCCATGCCACACACACCTTATCCTGAAGCCCTGGCTTTGCTCCACACTGTGCCCTTCACCATTCTCCCTCGGCTCATGCACAGCCCTATTCACGTTGCTCGCTGTCGCCCCCTCATGCTCAGCATCCTCCGCCCTTTCTCCTCTGCCATTTGTTTTTCCCAACATGGCATGGCATGGACGCTGTGATCTGCATGCACGGCGCCCATCAGAGCTCACTGTGAGTCGCCCATGCCCTTCACCACTGCTTGTCCATGCCGCCTGCGCCCGCATGCCCCTCTCCCTCACCTGCCGATTCTCTCTCGTGCCTCTTCGTCTCTTGGCGTCCGCTGTGCCCTCCATGCGCGCCATTGCTGTTGCCTCCCTCATCTCGCCTGCATGCCCCCCCCCCGCACACCCACTATGTGTGCCCCTCTCATCATGGACTGCCTCTCCCGCCTTGAATGGACCACGCTCCTCGTCCTCGTCCCATTTTCACAGTCCCACCCTCTACCCACATGCCCCTCCTGCCCTCCCTGCCATGGCAGAACCCCTACTTCACCAAGTTCAAGCTGCGTGTGGAGTCCGCCTACCTCAATCACCGCACACCACACCACAACGTACTGTTCTCCACCCTGCCTGCTCTGCTCTGCTCTTCTCTTCTCTGCTCTGCTCTGCTCCCCACCTGCACTCAGGGGCGTGTTCCTACGCCTCTTATCAGGCGCACCTCTTGTCAGACTTGTGCGATTCAATGCATTTCAGTGCGATAAAATTTGATTACGTGTGGTCCAGTGCGGTGCGACACGCCCTCACTTGCCCCTGTCCTTTCCGTCCCATAACTCTTCCCTCCCTTGCTCGCCGCTCCTCCTGTCCACCTGTGCTACTGTGCGTCATCTCTCTGCCAGGCACTGGGAGCGAGTGAGGCCGTGGTGACATCAAATTCCACCGTGTGCTGCTCGTGCTCGCGCCCCCCTCTTCCCCCCCACCTGCCAGGCACTAGGAGCGAGCGAGGAGGTGGAGACTTGTGAGTCGGCTCACACGTGTGCTCTGCTGCTCTCCCCTTCCCCCATTCCCCCCTGCCAGGCATTGGGAGCGAGTGAGGACGTGGTGCAGAGGAGGAGAGTGGAGGTGCTGGACGTGCTGACTTGTGAGTCGCCTCAGATTCCCCTGTGTGCTGCTGCTCTCCCCTTACCCCATTTCCGCCTGCCAGGCGCTGGGGGCAAGCGAGGACGTGCTGCAACGGAGGAGTGTGGAGGTGTTGGACGTGGCGGGCGAGGCAGTGGAGGCGTATGTGCCCGAGGAGGACCCCGCACGCTTCACCTCCGCCAAGACCGGCCGCGGCCCCTTCACTCTCGGCTGGCAGGTGCGCTGGCAGGCTTGGTGTCAGCTTTGGTGGCAGCTTTGGTGGCAGCTTTGGTAGCTGGTATTTCCACTCCTTTGCATTCCTCTCCATCCTTCATCCATAGCCTTCCAAAGCGCCTATCCACATTTGCTAAGATGTGATTATGACGCTTCAACGCCGCTCACTGTCACTGCACCCTCCATGTTTACTACCATTTTCTCTTTCCCCCGTTTAAGTTCAATGTAAGGTGGCACTGCCAGTGCACGATGCAAGATGATTGCCACATTATCACGTTGATTGCTCTCACTCTCTGTTGCCTCATTCATTCCACGTGCTGCCCCCACCAGGAGCGCTGTGACCCATGCATGGTGGCGCACGCACAAGCTCGTCACACTGGACCCGCCCTACTGGGGCTCCGGGGTGACTTTGAGCCGACTCACAACTCAACCACTCTCCGTGTCCCCCATCACCCCACATCCTGCGCCGCACCCCCACCAGGAGCGGTGCGACCCATGCATGGTGGCGTACAAGCTGGTGACAGTGGACCTGCCCTACTGGGGCTTTGGCCCGCAGCTCGAGAAATACATCGCCAAAGTACGTCCTCCCCCTCCGCTCTGCCTCTCCGCCCTCTCCTCCGCCCTCCTCTCCGCCCTCTCCTTCCACACACCCCTACCATCTCTCTCGGTCCTTCATCAGCCCCTCTCACTGCCCTCAATCCCTCTTCCCTCCATTTTTCCCTCACGTGCCTCCATTTCTTCCTCCGTCGCCTCCCTCCCCGGCCTGCCCTTTCGTGTTGGCCTGCTGTGCTGCCATCCCCCACGTGCCAATGCATGTGGACTCCTCCGCGTATCTCGCTTCTCCTCTCTGCACCTCACTTCACTCCCTCGAAATTGTCACTTCACCCACCCCAACCCCTTTTTCCACACTCAGTATTTCCCCTCTCTGCCTGACGAGTTGCCCACACTTGGAGCAATCTCTCACTACCTCCTCTCTGCCTGACGAGTTGCCCACACTTGGAGCAATCTCTCACAACCTCCTCTCTGCCTGACGAGTTGCCCACACTTGGAGCAATCTCTCACTACCTCCTCTCTGCCTGACGAGTTGCCCACACTTGGAGCAATCTCTCACTACCTCCTCTCTGCCTGACGAGTTGCCCACACTTGGAGCAATCTCTCACAACCTCCTCTCTGCCTGACGAGTTGCCCACACTTGGAGCAATCTCTCACTACCTCCTCTCTGCCTGACGAGTTGCCCACACTTGGAGCAATCTCTCACTACCTCCTCTCTGCCTGACGAGTTGCCCACACTTGGAGCAATCTCTCACTACCTCCTCTCTGCCTGACGAGTTGCCCACACTTGGAGCAATCTCTCACTACCTCCTCTCTGCCTGACGAGTTGCCCACGCTTGGAGCAATCTCTCACTACCTCCTCTCTGCCTGACGAGTTGCCCACACTTGGAGCAATCTCTCACTACCTCCTCTCTGCCTGACGAGTTGCCCACGCTTGGAGCAATCTCTCACTACCTCCTCTCTGCCTGACGAGTTGCCCACACTTGGAGCAATCTCTCACTACCTCCTCTCTGCCTGACGAGTTGCCCACACTTGGAGCAATCTCTCACTACCTCCTCTCTGCCTGACGAGTTGCCCACACTTGGAGCAATCTCTCACTACCTCCTCTCTGCCTGACGAGTTGCCCACACTTGGAGCAATCTCTCACTACCTCCTCTCTGCCTGACGAGTTGCCCACACTTGGAGCAATCTCTCACTACCTCCTCTCTGCCTGACGAGTTGCCCACACTTGGAGCAATCTCTCACAACCTCCTCTCTGCCTGACGAGTTGCCCACACTTGGAGCAATCTCTCACTACCTCCTCTCTGCCTGACGAGTTGCCCACACTTGGAGCAATCTCTCACTACCTCCTCTCTGCCTGACGAGTTGCCCACACTTGGAGCAATCTCTCACTACCTCCTCTCTGCCTGACGAGTTGCCCACACTTGGAGCAATCTCTCACTACCTCCTCTCTGCCTGACGAGTTGCCCACACTTGGAGCAATCTCTCACTACCTCCTCTCTGCCTGACGAGTTGCCCACACTTGGAGCAATCTCTCACAACCTCCTCTCTGCCTGACGAGTTGCCCACACTTGGAGCAATCTCTCACTACCTCCTCTCTGCCTGACGAGTTGCCCACACTTGGAGCAATCTCTCACAACCTCCTCTCTGCCTGACGAGTTGCCCACACTTGGAGCAATCTCTCACTACCTCCTCTCTGCCTGACGAGTTGCCCACACTTGGAGCAATCTCTCACTACCTCCTCTCTGCCTGACGAGTTGCCCACACTTGGAGCAATCTCTCACTACCTCCTCTCTGCCTGACGAGTTGCCCACACTTGGAGCAATCTCTCACTACCTCCTCTCTGCCTGACGAGTTGCCCACACTTGGAGCAATCTCTCACTACCTCCTCTCTGCCTGACGAGTTGCCCACACTTGGAGCAATCTCTCACTACCTCCTCTCTGCCTGACGAGTTGCCCACACTTGGAGCAATCTCTCACTACCTCCTCTCTGCCTGACGAGTTGCCCACGCTTGGAGCAATCTCTCACTACCTCCTCTCTGCCTGACGAGTTGCCCACACTTGGAGCAATCTCTCACTACCTCCTCTCTGCCTGACGAGTTGCCCACGCTTGGAGCAATCTCTCACTACCTCCTCTCTGCCTGACGAGTTGCCCACACTTGGAGCAATCTCTCACTACCTCCTCTCTGCCTGACGAGTTGCCCACACTTGGAGCAATCTCTCACTACCTCCTCTCTGCCTGACGAGTTGCCCACACTTGGAGCAATCTCTCACTACCTCCTCTCTGCCTGACGAGTTGCCCACACTTGGAGCAATCTCTCACTACCTCCTCTCTGCCTGACGAGTTGCCCACACTTGGAGCAATCTCTCACTACCTCCTCTCTGCCTGACGAGTTGCCCACACTTGGAGCAATCTCTCACTACCTCCTCTCTGCCTGACGAGTTGCCCACACTTGGAGCAATCTCTCACTACCTCCTCTCTGCCATCACTCGTGCGTGTGCATGGTGGCGGGGCATGGCAGGTGTTTCAGCGCAAGCTGAACATAGAGGCGAACCGCAAGGCCATCTGCTGGATGGACGAGTGGCACGGCATGACCATGGAGGACGTCAGACGCATGGAGGCTGAGGCCTTCTCCCGCATCAACCAGGTGACTGCAGCACACCCAGGTGATTGCAGCAGACCCAGGTGATTGCAGCAGACCCAGGTGATTGCAGCAGACCCAGGTGATTGCAGCAGACCCAGGTGATTGCAGCAGCCAGGTGATTGCAGCAGCCAGGTGACTGTAGCAGCAAGGTGATTGCAGCAGCAAGGTGATTGCAGCAGCCAGGTGATTGCAGCAGCCAGGTGACTGCAGCACACCCAGGTGATTGCAGCAGCCAGGTGATTGCAGCAGCCAGGTGACTGCAGCGGCCAGGTGATTGCAGCAGCCAGGTGATTGCAGCAGCCAGGTGATTGCAGCTGCCAGGTGACTGCAGCAGCCAGGTGTAGGCAACGAGGTAATTGTGAGAAGTGAGCTTCATTCAATGTACCTTCACAAGAACTTTCACGTCCCTGTAGTGGTTGCACTCAAATCTCTTTCCATCCAACCCTCTCGCATGCACCTGTGGCGGCATGCTGGCAGGATCGGCAGCACAAGTACGGAGCGCAGGGGGGGAGTGGGGCACACAAGGGGAGTGCTGCACGAGTGGCGGATGGCACCGGCGTGTAGCCCCTCGTTCACCGGCTGTCTTCAGGGTACGAGCACCCATGCCTTGTACCCATGCCTTGCACCCATGCCTTGTACCCATGCCTTGCACCCATGCCTTGTACCCATGCCTTGTACCCATGCCTTGTACCCATGCCTTGTACCCATGCCTTGCACCCATGCCTTGCACCCATGCCTTGTACCCATGCCTTGTACCCATGCCTTGCACCCATGCCTTGCACCCATGCCTTGCACCCATGCCTTGCACCCATGCCTTGCACCCATGCCTTGCACCCATGCCTTGCACCCATGCCTTGCACCCATGCCTTGCACCCATGCCTTGCACCCATGCCTTGCACCCATGCCTTGCACCCATGCCTTGCACCCATGCCTTGCACCCATGCCTTGCACCCATGCCTTGCACCCATGCCTTGCACCCATGCCTTGCACCCATGCCTTGCACCCATGCCTTGCACCCATGCCTTGCACCCATGCCTTGCACCCATGCCTTGCACCCATGCCTTGCACCCATGCCTTGCACCCATGCCTTGCACCCATGCCTTGCACCCATGCCTTGCACCCATGCCTTGCACCCATGCCTTGCACCCATGCCTTGCACCCATGCCTTGCACCCATGCCTTGCACCCATGCCTTGCACCCATGCCTTGCACCCATGCCTTGCACCCATGCCTTGCACCCATGCCTTGCACCATGCCTTGCACCCATGCCTTGCACCCATGCCTTTCACATGCCTGCACCCATGCCTTGCACCCATGCCTTGCACCCATGCCTGCACCCATGCCTTGCACCCATGCCTTGCAACCCATGCCTTGCACCCATGCCTTGCACCATGCCTTGCACCCATGCCTTGCACCCATGCCTTGCACCCATGCCTTGCACCCATGCCTTGCACCCATGCCTTGCACCCATGCCTTGCACCCATGCCTTGCACCCATGCCTTGCACCCATGCCTTGCACCCATGCTTTGCACCCATGCCTTGCACCCATGCCTTGCACCCATGCCTTGGCACCCATGCCTTGCACCCATGCCTTGCACCCATGCCTTGCACCCATGCCTTGCACCCATGCCTTGCAACCCATGCCTTGCACCCATGCCTTGCACCCATGCCTTGCACCCATGCCTTGCACCCATGCCTTGCACCCATGCCTTGCACCCATGCCTTGCACCCATGCCTTGCACCCATGCCTTGCACCCATGCCTTGCACCCATGCCTTGCACCCATGCCTTGCACCCATGCCTTGCACCCATGCCTTGCACCCATGCCTTGCACCCATGCCTTGCACCCATGCCTTGCACCCATGCCTTGCACCCATGCCTTGCACCCATGCCTTGCACCCATGCCTTGCACCCATGCCTTGCACCCATGCCTTGCACCCATGCCTTGCACCCATGCCTTGCACCCATGCCTTGCACCCATGCCTTGCACCCATGCCTTGCACCCATGCCTTGCACCCATGCCTTGCACCCATGCCTTGCACCCATGCCTTGCACCCATGCCTTGCACCCATGCCTTGCACCCATGCCTTGCACCCATGCCTTGCACCCATGCCTTGCACCCATGCCTTGCACCCATGCCTTGCACCCATGCCTTGCACCCATGCCTTGCACCCATGCCTTGCACCCATGCCTTGCACCCATGCCTTGCACCCATGCCTTGCACCCATGCCTTGCACCCATGCCTTGCACCCATGCCTTGCACCCATGCCTTGCACCCATGCCTTGCACCCATGCCTTGCACCCATGCCTTGCACCCATGCCTTGCACCCATGCCTTGCACCCATGCCTTGCACCCATGCCTTGCACCCATGCCTTGCACCCATGCCTTGCACCCATGCCTTGCACCCATGCCTTGCACCCATGCCTTGCACCCATGCCTTGCACCCATGCCTTGCACCCATGCCTTGCACCCATGCCTTGCACCCATGCCTTGCACCCATGCCTTGCACCCATGCCTTGCACCCATGCCTTGCACCCATGCCTTGCACCCATGCCTTGCACCCATGCCTTGCACCCATGCCTTGCACCCATGCCTTGCACCCATGCCTTGCACCCATGCCTTGCACCCATGCCTTGCACCCCATGCCTTGCAACCCATGGCCTTGCACCCATGCCTTGCACCCCATGCCTTGCACCCATGCAGTTGCACCTCATGCCTTGCATCCCATAAGCCTTGCACCCATGCCTTGCAAACCCATGCCTTGCACCCGATGCCTTGCTTGCACCCAGCGGCCCTTGCAACCCAGTGCCTTGCAACCCATGCCTTGCACCCATCGCCTTGCAGCCCATGGCCTTGCACCCATGCCTTGCACCCATGCCATTGCACCGCATGCCTTGCACCCATGCCTTGCAACCAATGCCTTGCACAACCATGCCTTGCACCCATGCCTTGCACCCATGTGCCTTGCACCCCATGCCTTGCACCCGATGCCTTGCACCCATGCCTTGCACACCATAGCCTTGCACCCATGCCTTGCACCCATGACCTTGCACATGGGCCTTGCACCCATGCCTTGCACCCCATGCCATTGCAACCATGCCTTGCACCCATGCCTTGCACCCATGCCTTGCACCGCAGCGCCTTGCACCCATGCCTTGCAAACCCATGCTTGCACCCATGCCTTGCACCCATGGCCTTGCACCATGCCTTGCACCCATGGCCTTGCACCCATGCCTGCACCCATGCCTTGCACCCATGCCTTGCAACCATGCCTTGCAACCATGCCTTGCACCCATGCCTTGCAACCCATGCCATTCCTCGCATCCATGGCTGGCACCCATGCCTTGCACCCATGGCTCGAACTAGTTGTGCTGTTGCTTGCAGCACCGCTTCCACTGCAACTTACCTATATAATGCTGTTTTCCTTGTCAGGATGAATTGGTGGTTTTACCGTTACTCACGACTGGCCCTGCTCTGCAATGCCCTTCTTGTCTCTGTTCCCTCAAGCAGCTCTCATCTCCATACACACCACACAGTGCACACTCAAGGCCTTCATCGTTAAACGGCAAGTGGTTTTCTAAGACCAAGGCCTTCATTGCCATACGCTCAAAACCCTTTACCCTTTGAAAAACGCTATGGGTATATGTTTTACCGTATTACCCCGGATAGTAGCGCATATGCGCTTATAATAAAATCAGTTTTTTGAAGGGGGGCGCTTGTAATTGAATATCGGCCATAAGCGCCGGCGCTTATATGACGACCAATACAGAAATACAACCTAAACGCACCAAATTGTACATTTCAGTCTCGTAAGTTGAGTCGAATCGAAATTTTACAGGGTCCAGAATCAGAATTGCGCGAGGGCGATTTCTGACGGTGCACAGAGCTTTGGCACGTCATTTTGCTCGCGTGCCAACTCATACTGACTGGACGCGCAACCAGTAGGTCCTCGAAAGTTAAACAAAGTGAAAATGGGGGTGTTGATGACAGAATCTTGAAGGAAGGAATGACTGAACTAGCAAGCAGGTGGGTACAAGTAGGAAACCTAAAAGTGTTGTACCCTATATGAACTACTGGCGGTGCTGCTGGTGCTGGAGGTGCTGCTGGTGCTGGGGCTGCTGGAGCTGCTGGAGGTGCTGCTCGTGCTGGAGCTGCTGGACGTGCTGCTGGGACTGGTGGTGTTGCAGGAGTTGTAGCTGGAGACTCTGGGGCTGAGGGTACCGGTGCTGTCTCTGCTGTTTCTCGAGGCGCTGCGCGGCCGCGACCGTACTACGTTCCGCTCCTTCAGCAGGTTCTTGGTCCTACTCCTCCTTTACTGAGTCCACCGCCTGTCCAGTCCCAGTCGCAGTTACAGCCGGCCTCTCCACTGCCTGGTCCTTCTCCTTACTCTGGACCGACTAGAGGTCTTACGGAGCGTCGTGAGCCTGAGTCGCGTCCTGTGTCGACTGAGTCTCGTTCTGCGTCGCCTGTTCGTACTGTTCGCGCTGGTCGTGATTCACGTCCTCCTGTCCCTGGCACTCACTCTATGACTCTGCGTCCTTCCAGTGCTCCACAGCGTGTCCCTCTACCGTCTCCTCCTGCGTCCTCTCTTCCTGCCAGTCCGGACCCTGCGTCTGACTCCCTCCGTGCTGCTAGTCCAGCTGTCACGCACTTTCTGGCCACTGCTGTCACTGACCCTTTGTTTGAGTCCACTGCTGCGTCTGCTCTTGTTACTGAGCTTGTTGACTTTGCCGCAGCCTGTCGCCTAGACTACACCACTAGTCTTGTTGCTGAGTCTGCGTCTGCGTCTGTCTGTCCTCCGTCCGTCGGGGGTGAGTGTGCTCTTGGCACGGACGTTCTTGAGGACAGACAGGAGGAGTTTGAGTGCTTTGCCGCTACTCTACCTCATCTCGTGTCCATGCTGCTTGCCCCTGAGGGAGACCCGGATGCACCAGACATCCCGACCCCGCGCTCTTACGCAGAGGCGATAGAGGGTCCCTACTCCTCTCAGTGGTAGGCAGGCATGGACGCCAAGATGGCTTCCTGGAAGTCCACAGGCACCTACGTAGACGAGGTTCCCCCACCTGGGGCGAACATCGTCAGTGGCATGTGGATCTTCAGGGTGAAGCGGCCGCCGGGTTCTCCGCCTGTCTTCAAGGCGCGTTACGTTGCACGTGGCTTCAGTCAGCGACAGGGAGTTGACTTCTTTCAGACCTTCTCCCCTACCCCGAAGATGACCACTCTTCGGGTATTGCTGCACGTTGCTGCACAGCGTAACTACGAGCTCCACTCGCTTGACTTCAGCACAGCCTTCCTCCAGGGCAGCCTGCACGAGGAGATCTGGCTGCGCCGCCCACCTGGCTTCACTGGGTCGTTTCCTGCTGGTACCCAGTGGAGCCTCCGGCGGCCAGTCTACGGTCTCCGCCAGGCACCCCGTGAGTGGCACGACACACTCAGGACGACTCTTGCTGTTCTTGGTTTTGCTCCTTCCACATCTGACCCTTCTCTGTTTTTACGCACTGACACTACTCTGCCGCCATTCTACGTTCTCGTGTACGTAGACGACCTTGTCTTTGCTACTGTTGACACTGAGGCACTCGCCCACGTGAAGTCGGAGCTGCAGAAGAGACACACGTGCACAGACCTGGGTGAGCTGACAAGCTATCTTGGCTTGCGGATCACCCGGGACAGAGCACAGCGCACCATTACCTTGACTCAGTCACACATGGTGCAGCGAGTCCTTCAGCGCTTCGGCTTCACGTACTCCTCGCCACAGTCCACTCCTCTGCCTACCGGTCACTCGCTCTCAGCTCCACCTTCGGACGAGTCCGTAGAGCCGAGTGGCCCGTATCCAGAGCTTGTGGGCTGCCTCATGTACCTGATGACCTGCACACGACCTGACCTCGCATACCCTCTCAGCCTTCTGGCTCGCTACGTGGCTCCCGGCAGGCACCAAAAGGTGCACTGGGATGCTGCGAAGAGGGTGTTGCGCTACTTGTGCAGTACATCGGGCATGGGGCTCGTGCTTGGAGGACGGGCTAGAGTTGTTCTCACTGGTCACGCTGACGCCTCCTGGGTTGACGACTTGGCTACGCAGCGGTCGTCACAGGGTTACACCTTCAGTCTTGGCTCCGGTTCTGTCTCTTGGCGGTCTACCCGCTCTTCTTCTGTTCTCAGCTCCAGCTGTGAGGCTGAGATCTACGCTGGGGCCATGGCTGCACAGGAGCTACGCTGGCTCACCTACCTGCTGACCGACTTGGGAGAGGCGCCTCGTTCTCCTCCAGTTCTGTACGTCGACAACAAGGCCATGCTGGCCTTGTGTCAGGAGCACAGACTGGAGCACAGAACGAAGCACATTGCTCTGCGCTACTTCCTTGCTCGAGAGTTGCAGCAGCGTGGCCAGCTTCGTCTTGCTTACGTGGCCTCTCAGGCCAACAGCGTTTCTGTACTGTCCTAGGCCTTGTACCTACTGTGCCTCACTTGCTTACTTCTTGACTCTGCTTGGACTGTACTCTATATACATATACCTGCATGCTTACACTTGCTAGGTTGTGTTCACTGTATTGTTTGTTTTCCTTTATATAACTCTGCATGTGAACTGGCCTTGTGGCCATTTGCTTGTGCTCAGACTGCGTGGTGACTTTGTGATCCACCCTGAGCTTGCTTTGCCTTTCTTGATTGGTCTTGTGACCTCTTGTTCTCCCCCACTTTGTCTATGGGGGTGTGTCAAACTTATATGCTATAGTCTGTTTAGGCTGTAGTGGGGTAGTCCTTACAGGGTACAACACTTTTAGGTTTCCTATATGTACCCACCTGCTTTCTAGTTCAGTCATTCATTCGCTCACATTCTAACACCCTCAGCATCAGAGGTAAGAACAGTAGGGCTAGCCATAGCGGCAACAGCAGCAGGAGTAGCAGTAGCAGTAGTGGCAGCAGAAGCAGGTGTAGCAGCAAGAGCAGCGCAGGCAGTGTAGTGCGGCTCAGTAGGGCGGCGCGGCTCGGCAGGGCGGCGCGGCTCGGCTGGGCGGCGCGGCTCGGCTCCTGGCGGCGCGGCGCGGCAGGGCGGCAAGAGTGCTTACCAGCATCTGGCGGTTAGGTCAGGGCCGCGACTGGGGCGGCAGCAGGGCAGGTCCGCTATAGGGCGGCTACAGGGCAGGGCCGCAACTGGGGCCGCAGCAGGGCAGGGCCGCGACAGGGCGGCTGCAGGTCAGGGCCGCGACTGGGGCGGCAGCAGGGCAGGGCCGCAACATGGCGGCTGCAGGACAGGGCCGCGATTGGGGCGGCAGCAGGGCAGGGCCGCGACAGGGCGGCTGCAGGTCAGGGCCACGACAGGCGGCGAAGTCAGGGCCGCGGCGAGCGGCGACGGGCCATCGACGGGCGGCGACGGGTTGGGACGGGCCGGCGACGGGCCGGGACGAGCCGGGACGGGCCAGCGACGGGCGGCGATAGGCCGCGACGGGCCGGCTAGGGGCCGGGACGGACCGGGACGGGCCAGCGGCAGGCGGCGACGGGCCGCGACGGGCCGGCGACGGGTGGCGGCGGGCCGGCGACGGGCCGGGACGGGTCGGGACGGGCCACCGACGGGCAGCGACGGGCTGCAACGGGCCGGCAACGGGTGGCGACTGGCCGCGACGGGCCGGCGACGGGCCGGGACGGGCCAGCGACTGGCGGCGAAGACAGGGCCACGACGGGCCAACGAAGGCAGGGCCGCGACAGGCGGCACTAGGGCAGGGCGCGCGACGGCGCAGGTGAGGCAGGCGCTAGGCGCGCTTCGAGCAGGGCAGGAAAAAATAATCGTGGTGGGCCCTAAAAAAAAAAACGTTCCCACGAGGGAACCTTCTCAGAATACCATGTCAGAATCTTGAAGGAAGGAATGACTGAACTAGCAAGCAGGTGGGTACAAGTAGGAAACCTAAAAGTGTTGTACCCTATGCGAACCACCCCACTACAGCCTAGAAAGACTATAGCATATATGTTTGACAGTTGACTCGCTAGAAGTTTTAAATTCGTTACCGTTTTAATC